GTGTGTTTGTGCGAGAAGACCTTAATCATCCCCCACAAACGCGCACCGGTGTCCTTGGACGGCTATCCTGGTGTCGTCTTGTCCTGGCTGTGGTCGTCTTCCTGGCTTCTTGCGGTTTTCTGGTTCTGGGGCGTCCTCCTCAACCGGAACCGTTGCGGGAGCTACGGTCAACGGCGCCCGGCCATTCTTTTCCAGCAAGGGCGCAGGTATCGGCCGGTGTGGGATTCGGAGTGATGGCCAGCCATTTCGGGAGTGCCAGTGGCTATTAACTGGCCGCCCCGGTCGCCGGCGCCGGGCCCCAGTCTATGATCCAGTCGGCGTTCTTGATCAGGTCCAGATTGTGCTCAATGAGCACTATCGTATTGCGGTTGTCCACCAGGCGGTGCAGCACCCGCAACAGGGCGGCGCAGTCCTCGAAGGAAAGGCCGGTGGTGGGCTCGTCCATCAGGTACAGGGTCTTGCCCGTGGCCCGTTTGGCCAGCTCCGTGGCTAGCTTGACCCTCTGGGCCTCGCCGCCAGAAAGGGTAGTGGCCGGCTGACCCAACCGGATGTATCCCAGTCCCACGTCGCGCAGGGTCTCCAGCTTGGGCCGGATACGTGGGAAGTTCCAGAAGAACTCCAGGGCCTGGTCGACCGTCATTTCCAGTACGTCGGCAATGCTCTTGTCCCGCAGGGTGACTTCCATTGCCTCGCGATTGTATCGACGACCGTGGCAGATTTCGCAGGGCACAGTGACGTCGGGCAGGAACTGCATCTCAATCTGGTTGTAGCCTTCGCCCTGGCAGGCCTCGCAACGGCCTCCCTTGACGTTGAAGGAGAAACGCCCCGGCTTGTAACCCCGGATTCTTGCCTCGGGGAGCGAGGCGAACAACTCGCGGATAGGAGTGAAGGCCCCGGTGTAGGTGGCAGGGTTGCTGCGGGGTGTCCGGCCAATGGGCGACTGGTCGATGTTGACCACCTTGTCGATGTTTTCGATGCCGTTAACGTCGTCATGGTCGCCGGGATAGTCCCTGGCTTTATTTATTTCCTGGGCCAGCCGCTTGTAAAGAATGTCGTAGATCAGGGTGCTCTTGCCCGAACCGGATACGCCGGTAACGCAGGTCAGCATACCCAACGGAATGGAAACGTCTACGCCCTTCAGGTTGTTTTCCCGTGCCCCGGTGACAGTGATGTGGTAACCATTGCCGGCTCTGCGGCTGTCCGGCATGGGGATTTCCTTGGCCCCGCTGAGGTACTGGCCGGTCAGAGAGCCTATGTTGGACATCACGTCATCGATTTTGCCGGTGGCCACCACGTGCCCGCCATGTTCTCCGGCGCCGGGGCCGAGGTCAACGATGAAGTCTGCGGCGCGCATCATCGCCTCATCGTGCTCCACCACAATCACCGTATTGCCCATGTCCCGCAGGCGGGTGAGGGTGTCAATGAGTCGGTGATCGTCGTGGGGATGCAGACCCACCGTGGGCTCGTCACAAACGTACAGGACGCCCGTAAGGCCGGAGCCAATTGGGTTGCCAGTCGCACCCGTTGGGCCTCGCCGCCGGAAAGGGTCCGGGCCGTACGGCTCATGGTCACGTAGTCCAGGCCGATGCCGTCAAGGAAACGCAGGCGACCGTCAATTTCCTTGAGTATCTGGTTGGCGATGGACTTGTCCCGAGGGGACAGCACCTCATCCGAATGCTCTCCGGGGGCATCCGGGTCTATGGTTCTTACCCACTCGACGCCCTGGGCAATATTCATGGCGGTAACTTCCATGATGCTGAGGTCGCAAACCTTGACTCCCAGTGCCTCGGGCTTGAGACGCTGGCCCTTGCAGGCCTGGCAAGGGCGGGCGGTCATGTACCGCTCAATGTCCTGGCGGGTGTGGTCGGATTCGGTCTCCCGGTACCGGCGTTCCAGGTTGGGTATGACACCTTCAAACCGGGTTTCCCAACTGTAGGTCCGGCCGTTGTGGGTGCGGTGCCGGATGGTAACTTTCTTGCCTTTGACCCCGTAGAGAATAACCTTCAGGTGCTCCTCGTCCAGATCTTTGACCGGAACTTGTGGAGAAAAGTCGTGGGCGCGGGCCACAGACTCCATCATGCTCATGTACCAGCCAGAGGACGCTCCGGTGCGGTTCCAGGCTACCACTGCCCCTTCCAGCAAAGAGAGATTCCTGTTGGGAATGACCAGGTTGGGGTCCACTTCCAGCTTGAAGCCAAGGCCGGTGCACTGGGGGCAGGCGCCGTGGGGGCTGTTGAAGCTGAAGGTGCGAGGCTCGATTTCGGGCAGGCTGGTGCCGCAGCGGACACAGGCAAACTGCTCGGAATAGACAAGCTCTTCTTCCTTGGCGCCCTCTTCCCGGGGCTGCCGCAGGACTTGCAAGACGCCTTCACCTTCCCGGAGGGCAGCTTCGACTGACTCGGAAACGCGGCTTAATTCGATATCTGGCCGGATGACGATCCGGTCCACCACCAGTTCGATGTAATGCCACTTCTGCTTATCGAGGTTGAGGGTTTCCGTTTCCTCCAGCATCAGGATTTCGCCATTCACCCTGATGCGGACGAAACCGGCGCGACGGGCGGCCTCGAGAATGTCCTTGTGCTCGCCCTTCTTGCGGCGCACCTTGGGGGCCAGCAGAGTAATGCGGCTGTCTTCGGCAAGGGACAGGATAGCGTCAACAATCTGCTGGATGGTCTGCCTCTCCACGGGCCGGCCGCACTTGGGACAGTGGGGCTTGCCCACGCGGGCAAAAAGGAGCCGCAGGTAGTCGTAAATCTCGGTTACGGTGCCTACCGTGGAACGGGGGTTGTGGGAGACGCCTTTCTGGTCAATGGATATTGCCGGGGAAAGACCCTCAATGTAGTCCACGTCGGGCTTGTCCATGCGGCCCAGGAACTGGCGAGCGTAGGCGGACAAGGATTCAACGTACCGCCTCTGTCCTTCAGCGTAGATGGTGTCGAAAGCCAGGGAGCTTTTGCCGGAGCCGGACACGCCGGTGATAACTACCAGCTTGTCTCGGGGAATGGTTACCTCTACATTCTTGAGGTTGTGTTCCCGGGCGCCCTTGACATGGATAAAGTCCTGCGGCATAGGCCAACATCCTGGATAAAAATAGTCAAAGCTGATTTTAACACTTGACAGCTTCGTTTATCCACGAGCAAATTTGATAGATGGATACGCACGAAGTTTCGCTAGTGCATTAACTGGTAAAGGGGGAGATTTGTAGAGGGGTTGGGGAAGGAATGGGATGGAATTGTGGGGTAGAGGAAATGCCTAACGTACGCTGCCGACCAGTGCTCTTGGTTCCACTTTGAGGTCGGTGGCCTCGGCGTACAGGGATTCCAGCCTGCGGCCACGCACCCTGAAGCCGGCGAGTTCCCTGTTCTGTTGGGAAAGCACGTTCCCCAAGTCCCGGCGCGCCCTTCTGATCTTGCGGATTTCGCTGGTCACCGTCCACGCGGCTAGTGCAGGGCCGATAACGATACCAACAACCGAGAAGCTGCCGATTGCTATGCGAGCCGCGCTGGAGCCGGCAAGGGACCCGCCGGTGGACGCCGCGCCTCCGCCCGCAGTGGCGAAGCGCGGGGCAATAGTTACCAACCTGGCGCCAACTGGCTGGATGACGCGTGCCCCCACCGGTTGTACGACTCGCATCACCGCAGAGGAACTGGTCTTCCATACCACGCTGGTGACTACACTGAAGGAGTGGCGACCCACTATGTGCTGGGCCGAGCCGGTGGATCCTGGGTCAGGGTGGTCTGGGGCTTGCGCCGGAGGACTTTCGCCAGCGAGGTTGGCTGGTATTCTCTTCTCCTTCGTCCGCGGGTTGAGGCGGTAATAGGGACTCCGGCTTGCCGGGAGGTTCCAGCCCCAGTTGTCGGCAGAGGAAGTGCTGGCGCAGGTAATACTCGGTAAGCAGGTGGCGGTGCCGAGCCTGGGCATCGGCCAGTTGTGTGCGCAGGCTGTTCAGTTCTTTTCTTGAACGCAACTTGCCTACGGCCTGAACTCCCGCGGAGCCGACGGTTACCAAAATGGGGATGAGAAGTAACGGCAGTGGCATTACAAAATCATTCCAATTCATAGGGCGTCATTGGACCCTACCGAGTCCATCGGCTGCACGTATATTTCCTTTACTACGCCGTCCTGGGCCGCTCGGATGCTCTGCTCAATTTTCATCGCTTCCACGACGCAGACCTCATCCCCGGTGGCCACCCGGTCGCCGGGGCGAACGCGGATAACGATGACTCGGCCGGGCATGGGCGCGCGCAGACCTTGTCTGAAGGGTCGAATGAGGGAACTGAGCCGCCCATCCGGGGCAAAGCAGGTGGGGCAACCCGACTGGGGGGACGCCGTCCGCGACGGGTTCGAGGTTGGGAAGGAGCAGCCGCAGCAGAATCCACATCAACGTAGTAGGTCTGGCCTCCCACGTTAACCTCCACCGGAGAACGGCTGACGTCGCCCACTTCTACGGTGTACCACTGTTCGCCGACTCTCAGTCGATAAGTGGGCACTGGTTCAACCTGCTCCCAAATTCTCTCGCGGCTGGACTTGGCCTGAATGGCCGATAAGCCGCTAAAAATCAGTGTATATCAAGCAGGTTGGGTTTGCAAAAGCGTATGAGGCGCGAGATCAGGCGGGGCATGGTGGTTGTTCGGGATTGACGGACAGAGCCTTCAACATCGGGGTTACAACGACAAGTAAGTGCAGTCCGGGCAACCGTTCACTCAGGACTTGGGAGTCCGACGTTACCCTCTCGCCGTGCCCGTCCTTTCGGTTCGAGCCAGGTGGTTGAGGAAGGAATTGGTGCGGATCTCCTTGTCCAGCCAGTATTGAACGGTGCCGGTGAGGGTGGTCCGCAGTTCTTGTGTCAGACTGGCGTCCAGGTGCAGGGTGGGCAGCGCCGTTGGCTGGCTGCGGGCCAGCAGCCGCAGAACCTTGAGGGCTCGCACGGAAAGGGGGCGCAACCCGGACTGGTGGGGAGTGCAGTCGGGGCAAAAGACGCCGCCGCCGTCGGCACTGTAACGATGCCTTTCCGGTTCTATCTCCCGTCGGCATTCCACGCAGTCCTGCAGTTCTGGCATTAGGCCCGAGACCGATAACAGGTGCAGGTGGAAATACAGCAGGGGAAGTTCAGCATCGGGAGAACGGCCTATGGCTGCCAGGGTGGCGAGCGACAGGCCGTAAAGAGGCTCGTTGGGGCTTTCCTCAGACCCAAATCCATCCACCAGCTCGGCAACCTGCAGTCCCTTGGTGACCGCCGTCAGGTTGGCCTTCACTAGAGCAAAGGACTCGAGGGTCTCCGCCTGGTTAATCACGTCCAGGGTGCGACCACGTGACAGGGCCAAGCGGGTAACCGTCAGTGGTTCCAGATGGCCTACCAGCTTGGCGGTCGCGCGCCGCGCACCCTTGGCAACGGCCCTTACCTTGCCGGCTTCCCGGGTGAACAGGGTTACCAGCAGGTCGGCCTCGCCAAAGGGTGCATTCTTCAAGACCAGCGCTTCGGCGCGATAAGTTCGGGGTGCTGGCATGGTGGGCAAACGTCCTTAAAGAGCCTGGAGGCCGCTGGACAAAAGGGGTCCAGTTTGATTGCCAAATCTCCCTGCTACGCTAAATAGAGTGCCAAGAAGAGGTGGCTGAGGCTTGCGTCTCTAGTCAACCTGCTGGCGGCCCTGGAATGCGCGACTGAGAGTAACTTCGTCGGTGTACTCCAGGGAGCCACCCACCGGAAGCCCGCGGGCCAGATGGGTCACCCTAACGTCGCTGCCCGCCAGGTGGCGGGAAATGTACATGGCCGTTGCCTCGCCCTCCAGCGTTGGGTTGGTGGCAATCACCAATTCTCGTACTTCCCCATCGGACAGGCGGGCGAAAAGTTCCCTGAGCTTGATCTGGTCCGGTCCCACGCCGTTCAGCGGGGACAAGACCCCGTGCAGCACATGGTAGAGGCCCCGGTAGCAGTGAGTGCGCTCCAGGGCCAGCACGTCCAAGGGTTCCTCCACAACGCATATCTGTTCCCGGTTGCGCTGGTTGTTGGCGCAAACGGAACAAGGGCTGGCGTCGGTGAGGTTCTGGCACTGGCCGCAGAACATGATACTCTGTTTCACAGCGTTGATGGCGTTGGCCAGATCGTAGGCTTCTTCGTCAGGCAAACGGATGATGAAGTATGCCAGCCGCTGGGCGCTCTTGGGGCCAATGCCGGGCAGCTTGTTCAGTTCCTGAATTAGCCGCGCCAGGGAAGGGGCGGCCGATGGCAGATGCTCCAGGGTCATCGTTGTGCCTTATGGGGGCGAATCTGTCCGCTCGGGGAGAAATTGACTTGCTCTCTATTCCCTCAGGAGAGGGTTGGGGTGAGGGAATGACTCTCCGGTTAGGTCAAGCCTGGAATGTTCATGCCGCCGGTGATGGCGCTCATCTTGCTGGCGGCAAGTTCCTGGGTCTTGTTGGTGGCATCGTTGAAGGCCGCCACTACCAGGTCCTGCAGCAGTTCCACATCCTCTGCCGCTTCGGGTTCGATGGTAACCGACTCCACCACCTGCTTGCCGGTCATGACCACCTTGACCACGCCGCCGCCGGCGCTGCCCTCAACGGTCATGGTTTCCAGTTCTTCCTGGATTTTCTGCAACTGGGCCTGCATTCGCTGGGCCTGTCGCATCATGTTTCGGTTCATTCGATTGTGTCCTCCACGATTCGGGCTCCCATATTCAACGCCGTGCGCACCAGCGGACTGTGCTGGTTGGGCCGGTTGGTTTGAGCGCCTTCGTCGGTGTCCCCCGCCAAGGTTATCTTGAAGTTATAGGCTGTCCCGAAATACCTGGTTACCGCCTCCGTCACCATATTTCGGGAATTGGGATCGTCCATTTCCTCCTGCATGCGTTCCATGTTGGGACGGTGCACAAAAGGTATGAATAGTGTATCACCTTCAAGGGTGATGGTGTTGGGTTTGCAGTCTCGTAGCAGAGCGCCCAGGTTGTATTTCTTGCCCACGGCGCGGCCCAATGCCTTGACGGCAGCCTGCCACATGCCGGGCACGTCGTCTCCGCCGCCAGAAAAAACGGGGGCATCGCCAGCCGCCGTGCCGGACGGAGGGCGCACCGGCGCAGTGTGAGGACGCTCCGGCGCGCGCGGGGCGGCGTTGCCCGTGCCTGCCGCGTCATTCGGCGCCATGGTAGCCGGGGAAGGAGTCGGGCTTGCTGCCTGACGGCGAGGTGCAGGCGCGGGCGCGGGCCGGGCCGCCGGCTCAGGTCGCGCTGCTTCCATGGGAGGGGCAACGTCATCGTTGCAGATTTCTACGACCGCCAGTTCCAGGGGAAGGGTCGATGGCGCGTCGTAACGCATATTGACCTCTCCCCAAATGCGCAAAGCCTTGATGATGCGCCAGTTGGGCAGGTTCCCTACAACTCCTTGAGTTGGCCGGTCACGTGCTCGGGAAGTTCCAAAGCGTCGGCGGCGCCCCATTCCAGCAGCATGGCCGCCCTGAGCAATTCCTGGGCCTGGCGGTGCATCTGCCGCAAGTCGGCTCCATCCCAGGCTGCCTGGTTGATTATCTCCAACGAGGCCGACGTGTTGCCCATCAGCAGGTACTTGACCAAGTCCAGCCAACGGTCGCCATGGCCCAGCCCCAGCAATTCCTCGACCTGGACCAGTGTTACATCGCCACCGTAGGAGACGACCAACTGTTCCAGCAGATTCTCGGCGTCCCGCAGGCTGCCGGCGGCATAGCGTGCTACCAGTCGCAACGCATCTGGAGCCACTGAAGCCCCTTCACCTTCCGTTATTTCAGCCAACCTCTGGTAAATGCGATCCGAGGGCAGACGTCGGAAGTCAAAGCGCTGACAGCGGGAGACGATGGTGGGCAAGATCCGGTTAGCTTCGGTGGTGCAGAGGATAAAGATCACGTGGGACGGTGGTTCCTCCAGCGTCTTCAGGAAAGCATTGGAGGCCTGATCGGTCAGCATGTGCGCTTCGTCAATGATGTAGACCTTGCGGCGTCCCTCTGACGGGGCAAAGTTCACCTTGTCCCGGATATCGCGGATGTCCTCGATTCCCCGGTTGCTGGCGGCATCCATTTCGATGGTGTCCATGAACCGTTCCTCGTTTATCGAGGTGCAAATTGCACATTGGTTGCATGGATCGCCGTCCTGGGGATCGAGGCAGTTGACCGCCTTGGCGACGATGCGGGCGGTGGTAGTCTTGCCCGTGCCTCGCGGCCCGCAGAAGAGGTAGGAGTGGGACACCCGCCCTAGCTTGATGGCCTGGCGCAGCGTCGTCGCGACGTGCTCCTGCCCTACGAGGTCGGCAAAGCAGCCCGGGCGCCACTTGCGGTAATAGACCTGGGAGGTCACGGACTGTCCTCCTGCTCACCGAACAATTCAGCCAGCGCAGCCCGTTCCAATGCTTGCATAGTTGCCGTTTCTTCCGGTTCTGCGTGGTCGTGCCCGACCAGGTGCAGCGCGCCGTGGATCATCAGCAGGGCCAATTCCTGTTCCACCGGGCGTTCCAATGCCGCAGCCTGGCGGCAGGTCTGGGGGTAGGAGATGATAACTTCACCCAGGGGCGGCAATTCGTTGGGGGGTAGTACGAAGTCGGCCCAGTCATCATCCAGGCCAAGGTCGAGAATTGAGTCCGGACCTATAAACGGGCCCTCGTCGCCTTCCCACTGGCCATGGTGAATGAGTGAAAATGAGAGGACGTCGGTGACTTCATCCAATCCCCGGTAAGTGCGATTTAACTCCTGTATGGTGGCATCGCCGGTTAACAGGAGACTGATCTGCCCGGGTTCACCGGGTTCCAGGGCATAGTCCAGCGCAACCAATAAGGCGCGTTCCAGCCACGCCTCCGAAACCTCATTCCGGAATTCGTCGGCAACTGTGATGAAGACCTGTCGCTCGGATTGAGAGATCAATGGTGAGGCGCACTCCTGCCAAGGATAGCAACGTAGGGATGAAGCTCATATTAGCACGGGGCCAAAACCGGGCGTCAAGCATCGGCCAGATAACCAACATGCTACAATGACCGCTAACTCAGCACACCGGGGAGGGGCGAACGCCCATGGCCAGCGAACAAGGCGTCAACGGAGAGGAACCTGAGGTCCATGGACTCGTCCTGCCCGCCGAGGGTGTCGAGGAACTGACCGACCAGCTGACCCAGTACATGACGGAAATCGAACTGGGTGGCCTTACCGATATCATGGGCCAGGTACTGGATGACTTTCTGGACCAGTGCGGGGGAATACCCGAAACCTGTCGGACCCTTTAGCCTTTGAGCAAATTACCGGTGGACAATTGGCCGTAACATTGGCCTACCAGGTCGGCCGGCTCGAGGGCCGTTCGCCTCAGATTGTGAATCGCCTGGTGCGCCAGGCGGTGGAAAAGTGGCGGGCCCGAGATTTGGCCGAGTCTGCTGATATTTCCGATGCTGACCTGGATAACCCCAAGGAGATGGTCTTTCCAAGGCTGCGCCGCATGCAATTCACCGAGCCGGAAGAGTGATTTGAAGCGCACCTGGGTAAATGGCACTGACAGACTGGCGTTTACCTATGCAAGTTCAGGAGGATGATATGACCACCACACCTGGCAGTTACGACCTGTTGCTAAAGGGCGGTACATTGCTGGATCCGGCTCAGGGCATTAACGACCACCGGGACATCGCCTTCCAGAACGGTTCGGTGGCGGAGGTTGCTGAAAGCATTGCCGTAGATCAGGTAGTCAACGTGGTGGATATCTCAGGCAAGCTGGTTACCCCAGGCCTGATTGACCTGCACGGCCACTTCTACCACGGCGGCAGCGGCAGTGCGGTCCACGCCGACCAGAACTGCCTCTCCGCGGGAGCAACCACGGGCATTGACGCGGGCAGTGCCGGTTTCCTCAACCTGGGTGCCATGCGCGACTATGTATTTCCGGCTCACCGCACCCGCCTGCTTGCCTTCCTGCATATCGGCTCTGTGGGGTTGGCCGCCAACCGGGTGCTGGGTGGTGGTTTGCAGGACCTGCGCATTATCGATGTGGACCAGACCGCCGATGCGGTCAAGAGCAACCCCGGCTTCCTTTTCGGCATCAAGGTCCGCATGGAACTGAACGCCGTGTCCCACTGGGACGCCCCGGAGGCCATGCGTCTGGCCCGGGCCGCCGCCGACCAATCGGGTAGCAAGTTGATGGTCCACGTCAGCGGCACACCCATCCCCTTGCCCCAAATCCTGGAATTCATGGGCCCCGGCGACATCATTACCCACGCCTTCAATGGCAACCACGAAGGCATCCTGGACAGACAGGACAAAGTCCGTCCGGAAGTTCGGGCTGCGTCGGAACGGGGCGTAATTATGGATTTGGGCCATGCCGGCGTTCATTGCGATGTGGAAGTGGTCAAGGCTGCCCTTCAACAGGGGCTCGCGCCGGATACCATTAGCACTGACATCCATTTGCCCCCTCCCGGGCGTAGGGTATATTTGATGAACGATCTGGTAAGCAAATTCCATGCCTTGGGAATGTCACTGGAAGACGCAGTCTCCGCCAGCACTTCACGCCCGGCCCAGGTGCTGGGCCTGGAGGACAAGTTGGGGTCCCTGTCTCCAGGCATGTCCGGAGATGCGGCCGTCTACGATCTGAGGGAAGGCCGGTTCGTCTGGCACGACATGGCTCGAAACAAGGTTGAGGGCAAGGTACGATTGGATACATTCCTCACCGTCCGTAACGGCTCTGTGGCCTGGCGCGAGGGCAAACTGACCGAGATGGGCCCGTGCTAACACGTCCCCGGAAACCGATATTTGGCTTGGCAGCGCTACTCCTGTTCTCGTTGGCGGCGGTGGGCTGCAGCCAAGCCGACCCGGGGTCTGATCCGAATGAGTCACCGTCCTCCGCAGTAGAAACCGCCTATCCACTTTCTATAGGAACCGAAGCCGGTGCCTTAGAACAGCCCAGTCCACCCTTGGCGTCATCCGGGTCGGCGGCCATTGCCATCGCCGAGTCCGCGGTCGCCCAGGCGCCGACCTCGGCTCCGGTTACTACTGAAGCAACAACTGTCGAGCCCTTGACGGCTACCGAAACGCCAACCGAGAGCCCTTCTGCATCTCCGTCCGCTGCGCCAGAAAGCAACACGCTGCTACAGCTTATAGACCCGCTGGATGAGCCAGAGTTTTACTGCGTGGATATTCCCGGCGTAGGCTCCAGCCTTGGCACAGACCGGCCCCTGCAGGCGCATACATGCAAACCCGGGGCTGATGATGAGTTGTTCCTCTTCAATCAACCCGCTGACGGCCAAGTGTCCATGCCGGCATACGATCTCTGCATGGAGGCCGAAAGTGACCTGGCCTATACACGTTCCTGCACCGACGCTTCCACTCAGCGCTTCTCCCTCGGAGCCGACGGAACAATCCGGACTGCCGACGGACAATTGTGCATGTCGGTGGCCTCCGGTGAGGGCGAGCAGGCTGGAGGGCCATCCCACGTCCGCCGCGACCTTCGGTTGGTCTCCTGCGCGGAAGGGGAACGCCATCTGTCACAGTGGATATTCCCCAGGCGGCAACCCTGGTTCCGGTTCTTCCCCTTCGACCAACCTGATGAATGACGCCCTGGACTCGGCCTTGAACGGAGACCCTTGGGAAATTGAGAGAATGGGCGCCACTGGCGATCCTGCATACATCCCCGTACTGGTTGAATTGATGCGCTTCCCTTGGTGGCACATCGACCGCTCGGTGGAAGCAGCAATCTATGAAGCTTTGGACCGGATTGCTGACCAGAATCCGGATATAGCTGAAGTTAACCCCGATCCGCCACTGGATGAATGGTTCCGATGGGTGGTCTGGATCGGTAAGCACCCTGAGGTTTGGCCTCCCCCGGGATTTGCCGGTTGGAAGGGCAGGCTCTATGGGGAGTTGGTGGATCCGGCAATGGGAGCCTTTCTCTATGACGGTATCAGGAGCAATGTTCGCGTCGAGGAAATAGTCTGGGGCGGAGTGGCCAAGGACGGCATACCCGACTTGACAGACGCTCCAGTCATAAAGGGCGAGGACGCCGAGTACCTGGATCCAGAGGACCGGGTTTTCGGTGTTTCCTTCAACGGCGAACACCGGGCCTATCCGCACCGCATCGTAAATGCCCACGAGATGGCCAATGATGTAGTGGGAGGTGTGCCCTTTGCGTTAGCTTATTGAACGCTCTGCGGTGCGGGAATCGTGTATTCCACCAACATAACGGGGAGAGGGTAGAGTTCGGGACGTCCGGAATGCTGTACCGCAGCAACAAACTGATGTACGACCGGAAGACCAACACCCTCTGGAACCAGTTTACCGGCGTCCCGGCAGCGGGCCCCCTGGTTGGCACGAAGGTGCGGCTGGAATTGCTGCCCGTGATTACCACAACCTGGGCCGAATGGTTCAATGCCCATCCGGATACCACCGTCCTGGACCAGGAAACGGGCCTTTACCCCGGCCGCTTCTACGAGTCCGAGTGGGACTCCCGTTCCATCTATTTCAGGTATCGGGAAAGCCCCATGACCATGTTTCCCGTTTGGCAGTCCAGCGACGCATTGACCACCAAGGGGCAGGTAATCGGGCTAAACATCAATGGCCGCGCCAAGGCCTATCACCTGGAAGCGCTCCGAAAACAACGTGGTTAACGACGAACTGGGCGGGCAACCCCTGGTAGTTGTCACTATTGGGTGGCTGGGTAGTCGTGCTTACGAAAGAGGAGATTTAACCTTTGTGCTGGAAGAGGGAACTGAGTCCGATACAACTGTCCTGACGGATAGCGAGGGTCAGCTTTGGCGGGTGGAGGAAAATGCTTTGGTGCGGGTAGATGATCCATCGGACCAACTGCTGCGCATACCAGTCACAATGCCTACTGGTTTGGGTGGTATTCCTTCTATCCTGATTCGAGGTTTTCAAGGAAGGGGAGTGAGGGGCATTTCACTCTCCGCCCCAACCCAGTGACAGCCATTCAGACGGTGCCAACCGTTCTCCCGCTGGGTCAACGACCAGTCAAAATCTCCAGTGTCGAGGCCCCTAGCAATTAATTCCCTTCTGGCCCAAATATAACGGGGCATGGCCGTTCCTTGCCTTCAATGGCGATTCTGGCCATGCCATAACCGTATTCCACTTTCCTGCCGTCGGCCAGAACGAAGCTTTGGGTTTCCAACGGAGTTAGGCGCAGGCTCTCCAACAACGATTCAGGCATCATGGAGTGGGCCGCTCCAGTGTCAACCATTGCCTTTAATGGGGCTAGATCACCACCATCGAGACTCCCAATCCGATTCGCACTTCCAGAATACCCACGTATTCGCCTGATCCCCCAGTTTGTATGTTTCCTGTGTATACGCAGGATCATACCATCCGATGAAGCCCTGGGAAATGCATCGGAGGCTCTGTAGTACTCTCGCTACCCCTCAATCCCGAAGACTTCCTCGGCGTTCTCCCCCAAAATTCGGCGCTTCTCAAAGTCGTTCAGAGTGCTTGAGGGAGTGGATCCAGCCCACCGGATCCACTGGGCCCATGTCGAAGGGGAAGTCGTCGCCCAGCATTACTCGGTCACTCCCACTCGGTCAACCAGGTATTTCAGGCCTTCGTCACTATGGGTTATGGAGTCATAGTAGAGATGCTGCAGGTAGTCGCTGGGCATGCCCTTAATCTTGTTGACCTTGGGTTCCGGCCGCACACCGGCGCCGAAGTCCATCCTGCCAATTCCGAAACAGGCATAGCCGCCGCCATGGGAAAAGCACAGTTTCAAGTCCGGGCACTTGTCCAGCACCCCTCCAAAAATGAACGAGTCTATGCAATGGTCGTATCCAGGGGGAAGCTGATCAGGTTGGACAGGTAGTAGCGACTGGCCCGGTCTGAACCCGCCGGATTGTGGGGATGGAAAAACACAAAGGCCCCCAAGCGTTCTGCTGCCTGGAAGAAGGGCAGGAAACACTCTTCGTCCCCAGTTGGCGTGCATGTTGGTGTGAGTTGCGCTGGCCAGGCCAAGTTCGTGGTGCTGGTCCTTGCTGATAAACACACACACACCCACACCAAACAACCAACACACGAAAAAACACAACCCACCAACACACGCAACCCCACACCACACAACCACCCACCCACACCCACCCCCACACCCCGCTTTAGTTTTTGTCTATAGTTTTTAGAGAGTTTTTACACACCGACGAAGCACCAGCATCTCCCATAACGGTCCAGGAGACACGCTAAAACGTCTTCCTCAAAACAACCGATCCCGCCAAGCACTCCACCACCCAGAAGCACCCAGCCAAGCACAAACCTGACACAGACCAGCTCGCTCGCAGTTCTCCATGGCTGCTGACGTATCCTGCATGGCACCGTGGCCAGGCCGATAAACCGGTCGGGACGAGACCTGGCAAATTCAGCAACCCCGTTATTCAGTTCCCGGGCAGAAGCCAGCCCTTCGCCCGCGTCCAGGTGATAATTGGTCAAGTAAGGGGCTCACGGACAGAACGTGAACGTCTACTCCCTGCTGGTCCATAAAGACTGTGCGTTCCTCGGGAGTAAACTGCCACTTCTCGTCGATGGGCCCGGCAACGCGATTCACGGCATTGATGTATTGGATGCCATCCCTGTTGAAGAGACTGGCGCCGTACCAGTTGCCGTCCTGCTCATTGGCCTCCCAAAAGACAGGGCGGCACGATGTGACTGTGTACGTTGATAACTTTCATAAAATTACTCCTTTCGTAAAGGGCTACAGTATCCCATCCGATAACGCATTCAGCAACTGCCTTTTTCGTAATTGCGCAGGCGGACTATTAGGGACATTGGGATATCAGCGGAGGGAAATGGTTCACATCTCGCAAAGCAGTGCGCCTCAAAAGGGGCGGAAGTTGTTACAGGAACCCGTTGTGCGGGCACGAGGGTCAATCGGGGAAGCAATGTAGTCTGTTAAGCCTCTTTGTTTCTTCGTGACGGGGCATGGTGTGTTATGAGGCCTTGTAAATGGGGCGTACCGCTGTCAAACTACATGCCATGAAACTTGGCGAATTCGAACTCAAAGAGCCCCTTCCCGAATTGAAGGATCCCCACCTGCTCGCCGTTCTGCGCCCCTGGATTGATGTGGGGCGGGTGGGCAGCCTCAGCCTGAATCGAATGGAGCGGCACTTGCGGGCCAAGGAGTTGGGACGACTCCACCGGCCTGGACTGTTCTATGACTTTACCCGCTACCGCCCCCGGTCTTATTTCAACGAAGGCCGCCGCGAAGTGTCCATTCCCAACACCATAATCCGTTATGCCGAGCGGGAAGAGGGGCCCGACTTGCTGCTGGCCACCTGCTTGAACCCCATCTCTATGGCGAAGACTACACCGAAGCCATGCTGGAATTGCTGAGTCGCATGGGAGTCAAACGCTACTCCCTGGTAGGGGCCATGTACGATATGGTTCCCCATACCAGGCCGTTGCTGGTATCAGGTTCGGGTGTCGGCGGTGAACTGGAGGAGGAGCAGCGTCAGGTCGGAATACAGTCCAGCGATTACGAGGGTCCTACAACCATCACATATTGATTCCCCAGGAGGCTGCCAAGGAAGGCATAGAGACCGCACCCTGGTGGTTCACCTTCCCCAGTACTATCAGGTGGATGAAGACTTGATGGGCACGGCCCGGCTTATGGAAATCCTCTGTTCTCGTTACGGTCTGCCGGAGCGGTTGATAGAACAGGAACGGGGTAAGGAACAGTACGAATCCATTGCCAACATGGTAAACGACGAGGGTGAAGACATTTCTTCACTGCTCCAGCAGTTGGAGGAGCACTACGACCGGGAGCAAAAGGACAAACAACCGCCGCCACCACCTCTCTCCGCCAACATCGAGGAGTTCTTGAGGGACTTGAACCAGGGGTTCGAACGTCCGGAGGGGAGTTAGGGCCCGTCCGCCGCTCTCTTCTAGCCTTTCTTTGACATGGAATTAAGGCCCGGCAATGTCCGCCGGGCCTTTAGTTTTTCCAGAGCAGGGCGAATGTCCGCGTTGTTCCTGTCAGATAGCTGAAGCGGCTTTTCTTTTCCGGTTGTCGGTATGCTCGTCATGCGGCGCCCCCGTAGCCGGAAACTTGGCAATTAGCTATGTGGGAAGTATAGTATGGCGAAGCTTTGATGGGGCTCCTTCAACCCCAACAAATCCTCTCAGTCTCCAAAGAAATTTGATGGCAAGAACCGACTACGACTACATAATTATTGGGAGCGGAATTGCCGGTCTCAACACCGCCCTGCTGGCACGGAAGCATGGCGCGACTCTGATTCTCACCAAGGGCAGGGTCGACGACTGCAACACCCGCTACGCCCAGGGTGGAATAGCCGCTGCCATCGGTCACCGGCGATACACCGGGGCTTCACATGCAGGACACCCTCACAGCAGGAGCGGGCTTGTGCGACCGCGAGGCGGTCGAGGTCCTGACCAGCGAGGGCCCCCAGCGGGTCGCTAACCTCATCCAATGGGGTGTTCCCTTCGACACGATGCACGGAGAAATCTCGCTAGGTATGGAAGGGGCCCATAGCCGGCCCCGCATACTTCACGCCGGGGGTGACGCCACCGGACAGCACATAGAACTGGCGCTGGCCGCCCGCGTAGCCGAGTCTGACATCAAAGTCCTGGAATACACCCTGGCCACCCGCCTCGTGATTGAGGATGGCCGTGCCGTAGCGGTGGAGACCCTTAACTCCAACACCGGACAATGCGAAACTTACAGCGCCCGAATCATCGTAGTGGGCACCGGTGGGGCGGGCCAGCTTTACAAGTACACCACAAATCCTGAGGTTGCCACCGGCGACGGCGTGGCTCTCGGCTTTCGGGCCGGTGCGCGGGTTATGGACATGGAGTTCTACCAGTTCCATCCCACCGCTCTAAGCCTGGAGGGCGCGCCAACCTTTCTACTGTCCGAGGCCATGCGCGGTGAAGGAGCCGTTCTGAGGGACCGGGAAGGCAACGCCTTTATGTCCGTTTACCACCCCATGGCCGATCTGGCGCCCCGGGATGTGGTATCCCGGGCCATCGCCAGCCAGATGGACAAGACTGATGGGGGAACGGTTTACCTCGATATCTCCCACCTGCCTGCCGATGTGGTGCAGAATCGCTTTCCTACAATTTATCACTTCTGCCTCAATTACGATTTGGATATAACGAAAGAACCGGCGCCCGTGGCTCCCGCCGCTCATTACATGATGGGGGGCATCAAGATTGATACTTGGGGCCGGACTAATGTGCCCGGCCTTTACGCCTGCGGGGAAGCCGCCTGCTCTGCTGTCCACGGCGCCAACCGATTGGCCAGCAATTCGCTGCTGGATACTTTGGTTTTCGCCCGTCGGCTGGTAAGTAGCAGCCTGGGCCAGGCTCCGGCAGAAGTGCAATCGAAGAAGAAAACATGCTGCTGAAGCGATTGCCGGAACGGGCCCCGGTCTGCGCCAATATGCCGGCCCCGGGACTGGAAAACTTGCAGGACCTGACCTGGCGCAATGCCGGCATAAACCGCAACGGATCTCGGCTGCTGCTTTCGGCCCGCATTCTCAACCTTTGGCAGCGTACAATGCCGCCTCCCGAAGATAGGGCGTCCTGGGAGCTGAGCAACATGGTGCTATTGGCCCGGCTGATGGTTGAATCTGCCCTGTTAAGGCAGGAAAGTAGGGGCTCCCATTTTCGGCAAGACTTTCCTGACACACGTCCTGAGTGGGAGAAGCACGTTGTATTGACCCAAGAGGAGGTATGAGAATGAGCCAATTGCCCCCCGAGGTCTATAGTCTGATCGACGCTGCCCTGTCTGAGGACGAGACTTTTAACGATCCCACCACGGGTCTGCTGATCCCCCAGGATATCATCGGCGTTGGCATGCTTCGGGCCAAGGCTGCGGGAGTGCTGGCCGGTCAGGACGTAGCCGGGTCAGTATTTCGCCGCGTTGACCCGGACCTGCTCTTTGAGCCCCTGCAGTCTGATGGAGATGCCCTTAGCCCCGGTTCAGACATTGCCCGGGTCGAGGGTTCCGCCGCCAGTATATTGCGTGCCGAGCGCATTGCCCTCAATTTTATGCAGCGGATGAGCGGGATCGCCAGCGACACCAATCGCTACGTGCAGGCCATAGACGGCTGCCGGGCACGAATTGTTGACACTCGCAAGACGGCCCCGGGCCATCGCTACCTGGACAAATACTCAGTACGAATGGGCGGCGGCCACAATCACCGTTTGAACCTGGCCGATGGAATATTGATAAAGGACAATCACATTGAAGCCCTGGCTTCTCGCGAAATGGTCCTGAAGGACGTGGTGGAGCTTGCCTTGAAAAAGGCTTCCCATACCATCAAGGTCGAAGTGGAAGTGGAATCGATAACCGGCGTGCGGGAAGCCCTGGATGCCGGCGCTCACATTATCATGCTGGACAACATGCCCGTACCAATGATGCAGGAGGCGATGGATATCATAGGAGATCGGGCCGTGGTAGAGGCATCGGGCGGCATTAACATGGCTTCGGTGCGGGCAGTGGCCGAAACCGGCGTTCACTTGATCTCCATTGGCGGCCTGACCCATTCCACCCAGGCCCTGGACATTAGCCTGGACCTGGAGTTTCCCGGAAACTAACCCAATTTACACTCAGGCTCCCTTTGGATCCTCGCTTGATCTCTTGAAGCGGCCTGAGACAGCCTGAATCCCATGAAAATACTTGATGACAGGAGATGATGAATATGGCACGACTACAGAATGTAACTAGGGAAGAACTGGCTGCGGACGACCAGCACTTTTTCGACGAGATCGTGGGCAGCCGGGGCAGCGTTCGCGGGCCCTATGGGGTGCTGTTGCACAGTCCGAAGCTGGCGGCCCGCGTAGCCCACACCGGCACCTACGTCCGCTTTGATTTTGATGTCCCCGAGGCCCTGAAAGAGGTCATCATCATAGCAACGGCACGGGAAATTCGGAACCAGTACGAGTTTGCCGCCCACGCCCGCCTGGCTCGCGGTCACGGTGTCACCGAAGAGACCATCGGCGCCATAGCCAGGGGCACTGCTCCCGACGGCCTGTCGGGTGACGAAGCACTGGTAGTACGGTACGTGCAGGAGTTGCTGCAAGAGCGCAAGATCAGCGACGGGACTTTCAATGCGGTGATGGAACGGTTCGGCACCCAGAACACGGTGGACATCACCGGTCTCATTGGCCACTACCTGCTGGTGGGCCAGATCTTGACCGCCTTTGAGGTTGAACTGCCTGAAGGCGCTAAGGCCGAGATTGTGGGCTAAAGGTAAACAAGGAGTCGAGACATGCCCGTAACTGACGGAATCGTGACTGCCCTGGAACGTAACTGGGATATGGTTGACCGGGCCCTGGAGGGCATGGACTACGAGACCATGGCCCGGCGCCCCAACGATTCGTCCAATTCTGTTTCTGGATACTCTGGCACATGAACCGGGTCTGGGACGCGCTCATGAACGTCTGGCTGATTGAATCGCCCCAGCTGTGGATACAGGACGGCTGGCACGAAAAGTACGGCATGCCGGCCGACCCGGACGAACGGGGCGTGGGCTGGACGGCGGAGCAGGTGGCTGCTTGGGAGCCGCCCTCGGTGGACGTGCAGTTAGGCTATTATGCTGCGATCAAGGCCCAGGCGACTGAATACCTGGCCACCCTGACCCTGGAAGATCTGGAGAAACCCATAGTAATCCCGCCTTTCACCGAACCCCGCTCCGTGGGGTCAGCCATAGGCCAGCGCACTTGGGATAACGTGGCCCACGGCGGCCAGATCGCCTATCTGCGCGGCTACTACCAGGGAATGGGCTGGTATCCAAGGTAAGTGACGGTTGCGGACCAGGAATACAGCATTCGGGTGCGGACCAAACAAGCTCGAAGTGCCTGGCTGAGGCTAGCCCATTAATTTACCGTCTCGGGCGGTGGCGGTCGGCGCTATCCAGCATCAAAGTTACCGGCCCGTCATTCTGCAGGGAGACCTGCATATGTTCCTGGAACACGCCCGTGGCTACCGTTAGGCCGGCGTCACGGAAAAGGCCCACAGTGTGTTCGTAAAGTCTTTGAGCCTGATCTGGCGGGGCCGCCTTGGTGAAGTCCGGGCGGCGCCCCTTGCGGGTGTCGCCGTAGAGCGTGAACTGGCTTACAACGAGTAACTCCGCCCCGGTGTCCAGGGCGGAGAGGTTGAATCGGTTCTGGTCGTCGGCAAATATTCTCAGGTTGACGGTCTTTTCTACCAGGTATTTGGCGTCGGTCTCCGTATCATCGGCCGATACGCCCAATAGCACCACCAACCCTGGCCCGACGCGGCCTACCTCGCGGTCATTCACCGTTACGGCGGCCTGGGCTACTCTTTGAATTAACGCTCTCAACCGGTTTCTCCGTTAATTCGCCGCTCTCATGGTCGGCATGACAAAAAGCCGCATTGTCCAACGACAGATGCGGCTTTCGGTTGATCGTGCAACGAGACTATACGGTGGCTTCTGATGCCGCCTTGCTGGTGGAGTCGCTCTTGGTTTCCGACGAAGAGGATTCGCTGGAAGACTTGCTCTCGGAAGATGAGGAGCTTGCCTTCTCCTTAGTTTCAGACTCCTTGGTTTCCGATTCCCTGGTTTCTGAAGCCGGACTCTTGGGCCGACCATAGTCGGTGGTATAGAAGCCGGAACCCTTGTAAATCACCGGCACGGCATGGAAAACACGCCGACCTTCTCCAGAGCACTCGGGGCAGGTACCGGAGCCGGCTTCCTTGAAGGTCTGGACCAATTCAAATCGGAGGTCACAACCGGTGCACTGATAGTCGTAGCGAGGCAATTCTTCCCTCCTGGAGAACCTGCGCCCGGCCAACCGCAGTCGACTCATGCCCGGCGCAATCATTCGTATTGTCAATACTTTCACCAATAATTTATCATCGGGTTAGGCAAGTGTCAAATACAAACAATACGGGCGTAGAAGCCTTTTATTCAGTGTGCCGGTCCACGGGGAATACCTGGATATGCTGCACGCATATGGGTCAGTTGGGCAGAGGGACCAAGATTCAAGGCCTTGACAGGTGCGACGGGTGGGAGAAACTGGTAGCTCACCCTCATTGACCGGCAAGCACTCGAGGAATAGCATGGTTGCACACGAACCATTTGCCGGAAGCCAGTCATGCGTTGCAACCAACCTGGAACTTTGGAGGGTGTATGGGTGAGAGAAAGAAACTGCTGGTCCTGTTACTGGTGGGGCTGACGGCGTTGGTGTTTGCAGTGCTGGCAATGTTTATCCTGCCGCCAATGATCTCAATGATAGTGGGTGGGATAGCCCTCGTCATTCTATTGTCTATGGCGACGGGCCGGAGAAGGCACCACCGGGACGCCCTGTCCAGGATACAGGCGGACGCGGCAATGAGGGGAAATCAATCAGCTTTTCTCGGCGGCCATAACTACAATACCCCATTGTGATTATCAAGCTGTTTCTGCCCGGCAGTCCCTGCCTGCGCTGTTTGCTCTTACGGCAGCTATCACCGCCTGCTGAAACTGTCTAAACCGGGATTGCCCTTAAGAGCCGCAATCGGCTAGCCCTGACCCGCCACCCTGCTTGCCAGGGAGATCAATGCTTCATCCGCTCCCCGGTCGCCCAGCAGGGACAGTCCCACCGGCAGCCCACCTACCTCGACCAGCGGCAGTGAAATCTGGGGCCGGCCCGTATTGCCTGCTATTGACGTGATGGCGCTGTTGCGAAGCCGCAGTTCGTGCCGCTGGGACACGGCCTGTCCCGTGGGCGGAGCCGGGCTGATGGTCGTGGGCAGGCACACCACCTTTTCACCGCCCTGGAAGACCTCGTTCATTCGGGCGACGATTTCCTCTCGCCTTAACTGTGCCGCGGCCACCTGCTCGTCGGTAACGGACCGGGCCAGGACGTAGCGGTCTGAAACCTCGAAACTGAACGCGGGGTTCACGCGGTCAATCCACTCCCGCACCGACTCCCACGCCTCGCGGCTCTGTAATACCTGCTGCTGGTTGGACCAGTCAGTGAGGCTGGTGAGCGAAAGTCGGACAGTGGTCACCGAATCGAACAGCGAACCTATTTCTTCCACCGCAGCCATGAGGGCGGACCGAGTATCCGACTCCGCCAGTTCAAAGGCATCCTCGGCAATAATGAGGTGAAGCGGGACGCCCGGGCTTCCGCTGGAAGCCAGGAGAACCTTCCCAACCTGCCCAAATGTCTCTGCATCGCGGGCAAACCAGCCGATGGTGTCGTAGCTGGGCGCCTGGAGCATCATCCCGGTGCGAGGTATACGACCGTGGGTGGGACGCAGCCCGTAAAGGCCGCAGAAGCTGGCCGGTACCCTTACCGAACCGCCTGTGTCCGAGCCCAGGGCAAAGTCCACCAACCTCCCGGACACTGCTGACGCCGACCCGCTGGAAGACCCGCCGGGCACCCGTCCCGGGCGCGTGGATTGACCGGGGTACCGTAGTGAACATTCTCCCCAAAGATGCCCCTGGTCAACTCGTCGGTAATGGTCTTGCCGGCCAGTTCGGCGCCGGCATCCACCAACTGCTGGACAACCCAGGCATTGGCCTCTGCCGGAGCGTGGGTAGCCTTCCAGGCCGGATTGCCCCCGGTGGTAATGTGGCCCGCCACGTCAAATATGTCCTTGGAGGCGAAGGTCAGTCCAGACAAGGGGCCGTCGCCGCCGGGCAGGTGCGTATCATCGTCCGAGCAAAAGGCGTTCAGAGCGTCACGGTTGGGATGGGGATTCTGTATCATGGGGAATCTCCTGACTCACGGTCATATGGCATCTGAGGCGAACTGTGTCTGACATGAAGCACTGGTTTGCATTTGGCAAATAACTCAGCTGTATGTTAGTAGATGGTGAATATCTACAATTAGGTCTTGTCTAATAGTTTTGTCAGTCAAGATTAAGTTGTAACCATTGACATGAGATTGAAATCTCGCCACCTTGAGGGATAAGTTCATGTGGTATCTTAACGGCGAAACGGATGGAATAATCTGGGTCAAAAGCTACCGCAACCATGAAGTCAAAGCCGTGGGCGTCGTAATTTCTGATTGTACTGAATTGGACTCGATTCTTAGCCTCACGTCGCCCCTTGATTTGATACCGAATGCCCTGAGAGTCGATAGCGTCAAATGATGATTTAGAGTTTCCCTGAACTTGCAATCCAAGGCTGTTACACACTAACCACTCTGTATAGTCACCAATGGGATTATTGTGCGTCCTAACTACTTTGCGGTGGACCAATTCATCAATTATTTCACCGTGGGCCTCTAACAGTTCGACCTCAGTCATTTCATGAAATTCTTTCAGGGACGACTCCTATTGGCTAGTTCTTGCAGAAGGAAAATAGGCCTGTAATGGAAGGAGTATGATAAAACTGCCCCTAATAAAGCCTGAAGTCCACGGGTAAGCCAAACAACAAAACGGCCCGCAAAACGGGCCATTTCAATGTAACTTGAGGGACGCCACCGGGCCGGTCTAGCGGCGCTGGCGGCGACGGCGGCGCGCGGCGCGCTGGGCTGCCAAACGCTCTTTCTGGGCCTTGGAGCGGAAGAAACGCCGGTCCTTCAACTCGCGCAGAATTCCGGCATGCTGCACCGAGGCACGAAACCGGTTAACCAGGCTTTCCGGGCTTTCGCCATCACGGGGAGTTACAAATGCCATGCAATTCTCCTTTGCCTTATAGGTGGGTATGGTTGCCGTTAATTTACCACAAGGGCCAATGGCAAGCAAGGCGAATAGCCGCCATCGTAGCACCGCAAGTCAGGTGGTTTGCCGTGTAGCCCAGTGCAACCTTTAAGGTTGTCTCTTCAAGTTCCGTCGGTTAGGCCCATCTAACCTTTACGACGGCGTACTCTCCAGAGGCCAGTTCCTCTCCCTCAGAGAGAGTGGCTGGTGTGAGGGCTAACAGTTACCTTTCTACAAAGGCGCCGTCAGCCATTTCCAGGCGTCGGGTGCACATGCCGGCCAGGGCCAGGTCGTGGGTGGCGGTCACTACCGTAACGCCTCTTTCCCGGGCGATGTCTCTCAGGATGGTGGCGATGGAAATGCCCGTAACGCTGTCCAACTCGCCGGTGGGTTCGTCGGCAAACAGCACCGAGGGGCCGGTTACCAGGGCCCGGGCGATGGCCACCCTCTGCTGCTCACCGCCGGACAGTTCATAAGGCCGGTGTCCGGTGCGGGAACCGAGTCCCACCAGCTCCAGGGCTTCTCCCGCCCGCTGCCTGCGTTCCCGCCAACGGGTGCCGCCGATGTGCAGGGGCAGTTCCACGTTCTCGTAGGCGGACAGCAGGGGTATGAGACCGAAAGACTGGAAGACGAAGCCGATGCGGGAGCGGCGCATATCCACCAGCTGACTCTCGGAAAACTCGGTCAGGTTGCGGCCTTCAAAGACTACTCCCCCCGAGGTGGGTTGGTCCAAGCCGGCCAGCAGGTTTAGCAGTGTGGTCTTCCCCGAACCGGAGCGGCCCGTTACCGCGAGAAATTCACCGGGCATGATGTCCATCTGAATCTCTTTGACCGCAGTCACTGCCTGGTCGCCGGACCCAAACACCTTGGTAAGTCCACGAGCGGATATCACGCTTGAGGCAGGAATTGGCGCCGGAGCATTTGGGTTGGATGCCTGGGCAATGCCCTGAGAGGCTCGGTACATTGACATATCGTTCCTGGTGTTTCGCGTCTATATTTCTTGCCAGTTAAGGGCAGGATATGGGATCAGCGACAAGCGGGACTTTCCCCCTGGCTCAACAGCTAGTCGTCCGCACCTTCTCTGGATGGCCTGCGGAACAGGGCGTGGGGGTCGGGCTCGGGTTCCTGCGCTCGTTCCTGCGCTGGTTCTTGGACCGTTTCCTGAATTGGTTCCTGCAACGGGTCCTGCAAAGGCTCCTTTGCAAGTCCCTGTTCCTGTACCTGGGTCTGTTCCTGCATAATCTCTGGGGGCGATTCGGCCTTTATATCGCCCAGCAAATCTACCTGGGGCTCGGTTTCGAGCTGCGCTTGAACCGGTGTTGGGCCTGCGTCCGGCCTGCCAGCGGGACGTATAGTTACCTGTCCGTCCGCGAAATCTGCCGATGCCAGGCCAGCCAAGCCGTTCCTTCGCATCTGTTCGACGTAGTCCGGTGGAAGTTGCAGGCGGCCTACCCGGTCCACTACCAGGTATTCCTGCTGCACTAAATCATCAGCCCGTCGAAAGGTTGTTTGCATGAAGCTCTCGGAACTGATCCGGCCATCGCGAATGTGGACTACCCGGTTGGTATGGTGGGCAACGCCAGGATAGTGGGTCACCACTATGACCGTTACACCAAAGGTCTGGTTCATCTCCCGCATCAGGCCAAAAGCTCGTCTGCCATTTGGGTGTCCAGTTCGCCGGTGGGTTCGTCGGCCAGGAGGAGAGGCGGATGGTTGGCCAGGGCCACGCCGATGGATACGCGCTGCTGTTCACCGCCTGAAAGCTGGTCTGGAAACCGCTGGGCCTTGTCCTCCATGTTCATGGCTGCCAGCAACTCCAGGCTCCGCTGGCGGCGTTGCGGGCGCGGAAGCCGGGCAATGGCCATGGGCAGCTCAATATTGTCGCGGACATTGAGATAGGGCACCAGGTTTCGGGACGTGGACTGCCAGACGAACCCAACTTCCTGGCGGCGGTAAAGGACAAGCTCTCGGTCAGATATGTTGAGCAGGTCGCGTTCACCCACCCTTATCTGGCCAGCGGAAGGTCGTTCCAATCCGGCAAGGATGTTTAGCAGGGTCGTCTTGCCACTGCCGCTTGCCCCGATGATGGCTGTAACCTCTCCGGTGGCGATTTCCAGGTCGACTCCCCGGAGGGCAACCACTTCCAGGTCGGCCAGCTTGAAAATTTTGAACAGGTCCCGGCATTCCACGTAGGGAGTAACACGGCCGTCCGGTCCGGTGGTTGCTGGGGCGCCCGAATTCTGAAGAAGTTGGCCCCTTTGTGTTTCTGTTGCCATTCTTTAGTCCTGCCTTTTTGGGCTGTTCCGGTATCTAGCCTGCTTCACCGGCTCTCAAGACCTGTTGAACATTCAGCCTGGCGGTGAACCAGGCCAGCCATACCACGTTGGCCAATGCTACTGATGCCAGGGCCAGGTAGGCAACGGCCAGCGTTATCCAGTTGGTTTGAAGGACCATAGGAGGTGTGACCCGAACGCCTCCTTCCGAAACTTCCAGCACCGGTAATAGGGTCGTTCCAATTTGCTGGCCGGCCCAGGTGCCCAGTCCCACACCGCAGGCTACCATGAGCAGGAGGTTGAACCAAACCAGCCCGTTCAACTGTCCTGCTGAAGAGCCCAGAGTGCGCAACAGCGCAAATTCGGTGCGCCGCTCCCCGGTGTCAACATAGGAAAACAGGACGATGCCGGATGCGCTGGCCAGCACCAGGGCCAGGAACATCAGGGCCAGGAGCCCTCCCCAACTGGCGTTAGCTAAAGGTTGCTCAACCCGTTGGCTTATCTCGTCTGATGCTACTAGCCAGTCCTCGATCAGTAATCCCCGATCGTCCAGCGCGTCGGACAAGATTGCCAGAGCGGCCTCCTCATCAATTGCAGTGGCCCACACCTCGTTAGGGCCGGAGCCAGGGCGGCGACCGTGCTGATCTCCAAAGAACTTAAGTGTCTCCAGGTCTAGTATCACGAAGGCTCGTTGCCTTGGGTCAACCGTCGGAAAGTAGTCGGCCACCGCCACCAGGCGAATGGGAAAGGCGAAATTGGAGGTGCCCACGTGTATTACTTCGCCAACCTCGACATCTGCCTGTTCCAGGATCTGAGGTGACACGATGGCAGGGATAGGAGCATTGGGAGGTCCGGGGCGGAGGCCCCGCAGACTGATTCCACCCGGTGCCCAGCTATAGGCCGCTGATTGGCGCCCCGAACTGCGGCTCACGGCCTGGCTGGCTTCCAGGGCGTAAAGTCCTGGACGGGTATAGTCTTCCACCACCTGCCAGTCGGACAGAGACTGGAAGTCGGCGACTGTCACCTCCCCTCCAGGGGTTATGGCACTCAATTCATCCAGGAATACCACACCAGGGTCGTTCAGGCCGAACCGGCTGAACACCTGCAGGTTTACCAAAGTGAAAGGAGCCTCTACTGGTGTCGGTTCCCGGTTTCCCCGACTCGGTCGGGGAGCAATTTCGCCGGCAACTCTCTGCCATCCGGGTTCGCCGGGTTCCCCGATCAACGCATCAAAGGTGTACCCGTTGGCGTCCCGAATTCTTGCTCCCAGGGCCAGTCGTGCTCCGGGTTGGCCTGGGTTGGCCCATACGGCCAGCGACGTAGCATCGGAGGGCAATTCTATTCCCCCGCTGCTGGTCGGCAGGACAGACGATGGAACCTGAAGTTCGGCAGGTTGTATTTCGCTGGCAATCCGGCGCTCGGGAGCTATGGTGCGCATCAGGGATCCCAGGCTCTTGCCGCCAGCGAAGTCCTCCCTGAACCAAGCAATTTTGTCGAATTTTTCGGTGTCCACGGCCAACATTTCGAATCTCTCGCTGCTGAAACCCTGGGTAAGCAGGTTCCCCGTCAGTCGGGAGACCTCGACCAGCTCCAAGCCAGGGACATCACTGGTGTGGGTCTCTTCCAGGTTAAGCGACGATATCGGCAGGCGTCCGCCATTGTGATGAATTCTCAGGTCGGCGCCCACCTCATACCTGGCCCGGTCTTCCTGGCTGCGCTGCAGGGTGGAACTAAACGCGCTGCCAATTACTCCCAGCGCAGTTGCCAGCATCAGCAGTACGACCAGGCTGCCCGGGGCAATGGGGTCACGCCCAACGCGCCGCAATCCCTGGACCAGCCAGACCGGCCCCAGGGGCTCCATCACTCGCGCCAGCAGACCCACGACCAGCGGGAAGAATCGCAGTACGATCAACCCCAGGGCAAGGAGCCCCAGGACCGGTCCCAGCAGCAGGGTGAAGTCGATTTCCAACTCACCGCGTCCGACTGGCCTCAGCAGGAAAGAATCTCGGCTTTGAATTTGCCACCAGATAATGGCGATCAGGGCCAGCAGCAGGAAATCCAGGTAATAGCGGTGGAGGAGGGGAGCCTGGGCGGGCCTGGCCCCGGCCTGGCGAAACTCCACTATTCCCTGCCTTGCCGCCACCAGCGTGGAGATAGTCAAAACTATAACCGACAACAATGCGCCGGCCGTTCCCAGCAGGAAGGCACGGGTGGACAAGGCAATCAAGATTCCGTCACCCTCAACGTCAAAAAAGAGGCTCCCCAGCACGCCGGCCACCGGGGCAGCCAGCAACGTACCCACGGCCACTGCCGGAATTGCCAGCAGCAACCCTTCCACGAAGACCATGAGACCGACCTGTGGCGTGGTGGCTCCCCGGCTCTTCAAAAGGGCAATTTCGGTACTGCGGGACCGAATGGTAAGGGCCGAAACCAGGGCCAGGTAGTAGGCGAGGATGCCCACCACCAGGAACACCATCAGGAACAAGGGAATTCGGGACAACACCAGCTGCTCGGAATAGTCATCCAGCAGCCGGTCCAGCTTCAAGGACACCGTGGAATTGTCGAGGTTGGAGATGACGTCCCGGCGCATCAGCCAGATTGTCCGCTGGATGTCTTCAACCTGGTCGAAGCTGAACCCCTGCCGGTTCATATCGTAGATCCAGGTAACATTTGAGTAGATTCCAGGATACTCGGTAGCTATACGCTGCAGGATGGTTGCTTCGGTAGTGAACATGGGAACGGTGGGCCAGTCGCCGTTGTGGTTGCTGAAATTGTGCTCGCGCCCGTGCCAGAAGTCATTCTCAGGATCGACTCGTTCAAAGATGCCGACGATCTTTATGGTCACGATCTTGCGTTCCGTCTCTCCCGTGGCCGGGTGTATGGCAAGCTCCTCTCCCAAGGCAAGTTCCACCAGGTCTGACCCGAGCTTCTCTATCGCCACCTCCATAGGTTCCCCTGCGGTTCCGGTGGGGACCGAAGGCCACCGGCCTTCCAGCAACTGGCCTCGGTCTTCTTCAAACAGACCGGTCATGTATTGGATGCGACCACGAGGCCGCGCATCCTGTTCCACGTCGAAGCGAGGGTCGTCGGTGAAGAAAAAGGTAGAGGTTTCCAGCAACCGTCCATGGTCCTCAAGATAAGGGTCAAAGACACTGGTAACCCGGTCGTCGATGAACTCAATGCTGGACTGGTAAACGGAGGCTCGCTGGCTGGCTATGGCCGGTTCTTCCAGGTTCAGGAATATCCGAACCCAGAAGTTTACATCTCCAGGTTCGGCCTGCCGCAGGGTCCGGCGCAGAGCGGCCTCGGCCAGCAGGTCGGAAAAAACTACACTGCTGGAGAGAAGGGCTACCGAGAGAAGAATGCCCAGGAACAGCACAAGTTCCAATCGCCACGCCGTGGCGATTCTCCTTCGCGCCATTGTGTACGCCAGTTGAAGAAAGGACATTCTTCCCCGTCTTCTTTGTATCTATCTCACGTTGCGAAGTATATCAGAGGGGCGCAGGCGTCCCGCCGTTACCGCCGCGACTATGATCGCCAGAACTACCGCTATGGCGAGATTCACAATCACCAGTGCAATCAGCCATGTTTGAACGGTCAAAACCATCGGCGGCACAATGGGAAGGCCACCGGGCGTAAGTCCCATATAGCCCAGGGTCCAGCGGCCCAGGTAATAGCCAATTACCGCGCCCGAAATCAACCCTACCGCCGCCACCACCAGCCGTTCCAGAACCAGGAGCTTGACCAGTTGGCCCCGCGAGAGGCCAAGAGCGCGGGTCACCGTCAGTTCCACGCGTGCGCCACGAATAGCTACCAGGGCATGGGTAATCAGCGCCAGAGTCACTACGATGGTCAGCGCTCCCAGTCCCAGCAGCGTCAGGCCGTTCCAGCCTCCGCCAGCCAGCGGGTCCCGTTCGGCCCGGTCTACCAGGCCGGCCCGGTCGCGAATGTTTGCGGAGACCGATGTAGATTCCCTTATTGATTGGATGGCCAGCTGGCGGTCCGAGTTTTCTTCCAGGGCCAACCAGTACTCCTGGGGGGGCTTCTGCAAGCCCCGGGGCAGCCTCCCCGTGTAGTCCTGGAAAGACTTGAGCGACACCAGGAGAAAAGACTGGTTTCGCTGCAACATGGTTGGGAAGTGTGTGACCGTGTCCTTGATTACCACCGGTACCAGCTGGGTGCCGGTGTCAATCCTCAAGGTGTGGTCTCCAGTCAGGTTCTGACTTCCGATGGCCGCTATGGGGAAGTCCCCGGGCGGAATCATCAGACCCCTGGGTGCCTGCAATAGCGGCTCCTGCCAGGAAAACTCGAGCCCCCGTCCGTCGTTCCGTCCGGCGCGCCCGCTGGTCCTCAGACTGTCGACGACGTCCCCGTGATGGGGCAGAGCGACCCATTTCCCCGTTTCCTCGAAGTCCTCGATAATTTGGCCGTCAGGTGTCCCGGTAGCCGTGCCGGAATCAGGCGTTTTAGGATTCGCTGTTATGTCGTCGAGGTAAATGGAGCCTGGAGGCATCCGGTAGAGGGAGCGGCCAACAAAATAAATTGCTACGACACTGAAGGGCGGGTCCAGCCATATCTTCTCTTCGGGCATTGGCGCCTCAAAGTAAGCCCAGTCCTGGCCCCCTTCCGTTTGTTGCAGACCTCCTCCGGTCAACTCTAATGTGCCCATATCCAGATTGGTGTAGCTTCCTTCCGAATCGGAGAGACGCAGCCACATATTGAGGGACTGTTGGACGGCGCTTTCGGCGAAGGTCTCGGTGCTAACCCAGACGCCCACGCTCTCCGTATCCTCGGGTATTGGTATGCCTGAGGCCAGATTGCCGCTCAGGTCCGGCAGGCGGGATTGACCCCTCCTCAAGGGCGTGAGGATTTCAGACAAACTTTTGCCTGAAGGCGAGAAATCTTCCCGGAACCAGGTAACATCGACCAGCGATACCGGATCCATTGCCAGCAGGGCCGCCGAAGACCCGGGTCGGGTGTCCAGAAGAGTAACTGACTGTCGATTTACCGGCGTTAAGGAGTGGACCGCGGGAATGGAGGCGAGTTTTCTCACAGTGTCGGGGGTGGGAGCAATAATGTCCACCACCAGTTCGCCCCCAATCCGGTACAGGGCCTGTTCCTCCTGGCTGCGACCCAGAGTGGATTGGAAAGATGCTCCGAACACGCCCAGCGCCGCAGCCAGCATTACGATGACGGTCAAAGAACCGTAGGGGAGGGGATCGCGGGCGACCCGGGAGAAAGCGAATGCAGCCCACGCCGGCGCCAGCAACCTGGCTACCCAAGCCAACCCTCGAACCGCCACCGGCAGGACTCGCAGGACCAGAAAAGCAGCGGTCACCAGGGCCAGGGAAGGGGCAACCAGCAGGCTGAGGTCCAACTGGGTCTCGCCGGTCCGAAGGGTTCTCTCCAGAAAGCTGCCCCGTTGTTCCACCTGCCACCACACCAGGGCGAGGGCCGCCACCACCATCACATCAACGTAGTAGCGTTGCAGGAAGGGTATCGTGGGCGGCCTGGCTCGTTCCCGCAAAAAGTCCAGCAAGCCCAGGCGGGTCAGGTTAAAGTTGGCGGACAGCAGCACTGCCAGGCTCATTAGTCCGCCCGCTGCGCTCATCAAGAACATATCTGCCCGTAGACCCACGTCCAGGATTTCAGTGCCGCCTTTGGGGTCGATGGTTCCGAAAAGCACCAGTCGGAATATCAGCAATGCCAGGAAAGGCCCCGCCGCGGTAGCGGCCACTACCAGCAAAGCCTCGGCCAGGGTGATTACGCTGCCCACCTGAAGCATGCTGGCGCCGCGGCTACCCAGCAGACCCGCTTCCTCGCTGCGGGTCTTTGCCAGCAATCCGGTAACCAGCGCCAGGAAGTACAGAATTACCACCACTACCATGGAAATGAACAGGTAAATAGGCGCACGGGCGCGCGTCACCGCCCGCTGGTAAGTGGCCAGCAACCCCGTGTCCCGGCTGTTTTCCAGCTTGGTCAGGGTCAACGACCTGGGAACCCGCTTGTTGATGTCCGTTTCCATGCCGTCAAAGGCGTCGCGCGTTGGCTGGACCAGGTCAGCGTCCAACACGTCAGTGTCCAGGTACAGGTACCAGCCAAAGTCACCCACCAGAGTGGGGTAACGGGCCCCTATGCCATTGAAGAAAAGCTCTTCCGGCAGGTAGAGAGGCATCAGCACCATTTCGCCCACTTCCTGCGGGCTGAAATAGTCGTGGAACCCCATCCAGTATTCCTCGGTGGTATCCAGGGGTTCTATGATGCCGACCACTGTCACGTGAATCTGCTGGTCCAGGTCGGAACGATAGGGAAGAATTACTGCTTCCGAACCCAGTTCCCAGAACATTACTCTTCTCGTGATGTCGCCTATTGCCACTTCTATAGATAGGCGCCCATCGTCTTCCTTGGGAACTGGCGAGGGCCACCGGCCGTCAATCAGCCGGGTGTGCTTTTCAAAGTCGGTTAGGAAGAAGGGCCTGGCGGAGGGAGCGCCCAGTAATTGAGAGGGTTCAAAAGGTTCATTGACCAGCAATATATTGGGTTGAGCCCTTCCATAACGTTGGATCTCCTTGAGCATGAAATCCAAACGTTCGTGGACAATGGCTTCCAGGGTGGTACGGAGGGAGTCATAGTCGGCCGGCCCCAGCGGCCGGTTCTGAGAAATGATATGGGTGTTGAGAATAACCTGGTCAGACGTAGCCAGACTATGTCGCAGACCCGCCTCTGCCAGGCCACGGGTGTAGATTGCGCCCACGGACATCAGCGTCACTGCTGCCAGCACACCGAAACCCGTAACCAATAGCAGCGCCCACGACGCCCTAAGGCGCCTGGGCAGGAGCCAAAACAGGGAACCAATCCAGTTCATTCTTATCCTGACGGATTAGCGGATATGGTTAGCAATGATGCTTGCATTGAGCGCAATCGCTCGCCTTTGCCGCCGCCACTTGCCCACCATTGCCAGGTATGACGTGATGTGCTTGGCTGTTTCCGCAATTAACCGTACCTCATTGACACATTGCAATGCTCGCATCAGGTTTGGAACATCGGGGTCGAGTGTGCTTCTCCGTTATGGGCGAGCCTGATTACTTCTCTGGGCGGCCTCCAGTCGGTCCTTTTCCTGTTCCCGCTGGTACCACATTATCATAACTATGCCAGCGGCAACGATGCTCATCATGTCTCCGACCACCCATAGGAAGAGGCCACCCAACTGTTGATCGGTTATGGCGCTCAGCATTAAGGGTTTTTCCACCTCGGCGTAGGACTGATACAACAGGCCCGTGGAAAAGGCTATACCCGCGCCAAGCACGGTATTGGGCAGCACTATCAGACCCAGGTAAAGCACTCGTAGCCCGTAGTGCAGGCGGGAACGGTGGGGCTTGGGGTCGATGACCAGCCACCAGAAAAGAAACCCGGAAAACAGCATGGAAACGTGCATGACCTCGTGCACGTAATCATTTCGTACTGCCGTGTCGTGCAGGAACGGGACTTGCCAGATATAAAGGGCCCCCATAAATATGCCTACCGCCACCGCCGGGTTGGTAAATCGACGGTATGCACTCCGCACCCATTTCTGCCGAATCGCAGCGCGAACACCGCCCTGCAGAGCCCAAAGGGGAAGCCCCCGCAGCATCGGAGTGAGAGGGGCGCCAAGCAATATCAGGAGCGGGCCCAGCATGCGGATCAGCAGATGTTGTATTTGGTGGATAAAGAAATAGTGCTCCGCCAAAGGGTCGATGGGCGATTGCAGGGCTAGAAAGATGACGAACAAGCCGGAGAAAAAGGAAATTCTGTGCCAGATCGAAACGGGATGGCTGGGACGCTCCCGCTTCCCCAAACCGTTCATGTAAAGGTAGGCAGCAAGAAAGAGGAACAAGGTAGGCAAAGGGTTTGCCGTATTCCAGGCCAGCCAGAGGTTATCGCCTGGGGCAACGCGGCCGTGGGCATAGGCTGCGGAGGCTCCGATAACAAGATGCCAAAGTACCGCAACAGCCAACGCAGTCAGCACCCAACCCTTGAAGCAGACTGGTTTGGGCCCGTTGTATCGCTCTCGCGTACGGGCGTCTTGTGTCATCGCCTGCGTCCGTTTCCTGGAGAAGGGAAACGGAGCATTGTGATGTGGAGAGGGGTCTAGACCGCATTTGCCGCTTCCCGACGCTTCTGGGTCCGGCGGATGGTCCAGACCACATAAGCTACGCCAAAGAGCAGGATAACCGACATCCCGCCGAAGACCGCTGAGCCCACCCAGTACTGGCGAGGTTCGGGTATGGTAACTGACCCGACCTGGGTTTCCACACGGCCCAGTGGTCCATCAACTTCTACCCTAAAGTCCCAAGGGCCAGGATATTCCAGCTTCATGCGCGCCCGGTAAATTTCGGGCCGTTCCGGCACAGGCAGCGCGCTAGCCCATCCGGTTTCGCTGCTGCCGATATGGCGGGTATGGATAACTACACGGGCGTCGGGAATGGGTTCGCCCGTAACGGCGTTTAGCACGGCCACGCTGACCAGGGCTGTCCCCAGGGAAAGGTTGGAGGCCTCAGCTTCCACGAAAAGGTCATAGCCACCCGCTACGACCTTTCGGTCTATTCGAACCGGGCCCGTGATATCTTCCTGCTGTTCCGCCGATTGAGCAAAGGCGGCATCCGCCTCAACGCCGAGCAACAAGATAATAACCCACAGAGGGATGAGGAGTGAGGCAAGCTTCAGGCGTGGCAAGACAGGACTTCCTTTAGCGGCCGCCGGCTTCCGGCGACAGTAAGTGGGAATGTTCTGAATGATGGTTTTCGGAGCAACCGAAAGTGGAGTCTTCCAATTGGACGGTCAAGTGGGTGATCCCAAAATCACGGTAAGCCACATCCTGGAGGGCTGTGAGAATTCGATTGTGACTTGCCTGATTATCGAAGTTGGCTGTTACATGGGCGATCAGCATATAGTACCCGTCGGTTATTGTCCATGAATGAATATCGTGGACGGATGTGACTCCCGGTATGTTCTCCAGTCTCTGACAAAGAACGTCCAGGTCCAGATGTTCCGGCGCAGCTTCCATGAGTACCCGCCCTACTTCCACAGAAGGTGTCCCGAGCTAACCAGAACGAGAACGGCAATAAAGATGCTGAGAATGGCATCAGCTATGTACCAGCCGAAGGCCAAAATCAAGATGCTGCCGATCAGAACGGCCACAGAACCCATCAAGTCGCTTAGAACATGCAGCAAGGCGGCCCGCAGATTCAAGCTATGTCCCGAAGAGTGCAAGAGCACCCAGGCTACTATCAGGTTAACCACCAGCCCGGCTGCGCCGACGACCAGCACCAGCCCGCCTTGAATTTCCTGGGGATTGGTGAGCCGGTCATAAGCCTCAAACCCGATCCAGATGGTAATGGCCCACAGGCTAGCCGCATTGGCCAGGGCCGCCAGCACCTCGGCCCGGTGAAAGCCGAACGTACGGGTAAAGGTGGCCGGCCGGCCGGCTACCCAAAAGGCCAAGAGGCGAGACCAATTGCGGAGACATCCGTGACCATGTGGGCCGCGTCCGCAAGCAGGGCAAGACTGTTGGACAGCAGCCCACCGGCGATCTCAATAAGCAGGAAACCGCCGGTCATGGCCAACGCTATCGTCAGGCTTTTTCGGTCGGCGGACCGGTGGTTATGGTCGTGGCTGTTGGGCTCATGTGCGTGGGCCAAACACGGCCTCCTGCAAGTTGGCCGCGGCGCCCATTCGGATACCTGCCCCGCGGTTGGCTGACAGACCAAACTTTTAACTAGCCAAGTTTACCAGATTCGTTGGGTCAACAGGCCCCGTAGCCTGAGACCCTTAAAACCTCAGATGTGTCTGGCACTAAATTTCATCTGAACCAACTGTCGGATGCAGGCGTGTTCAACACTTTGGCCTGAACCTTTAATCCTTTTTTGCTGGAACTATATCTGAAACGTTTTCGTCCACACACCCGGCGAACCGTCTGCGTGGGTCATCATGGGCCGGATTCGAGCGGTGGACGGATCAATATCGCGCTGCGCTTCCCATTCCGCACTCTCGGAAACCCTTTCGTGCTCGAATTCGTATACCGTGGCGTACATGGGAGTGCCCCGGACCGACTTGTACCGGCGGCCCCTGATAACGCCGGGCACCTTTTCGTAGTTGGGTACATAAATACCGCTGTACCAGTTATTCCACTCGTCCTCATTCTCCGGACCCACGTCCATCCGGCCGATTTGCAGGGCAGGAGCCATGTCGCCGCCGGCGATTGCCGAAGTCAACTCGTTCGGATGGATCATCTGGTAAACGTTGCTGATCAGAGTGGTCGCAATGGCTGGCCCTGAGGCCCGGTTAGCCCAGTCGGAGCGGGGTGGGCGGTTTTTGAAGGCGTCGGACTCAACCACCGCGGGACTCTCCAGTTCGTAGCAGGCCAGGTGCTTGGGGCCACTCTTGACGGCTTCATATCGGGCAGCGTTAAGGATCCCCGGAATGGCCAGCAGTTCGGGTATGTGTTCTTCGTTGTACCAGGCGTTGAAATCATCCTCTTTTTCGGCGGGCACGTCGGCCCACACCATCAACAGACCGGTTCCCTTCTTGTTTGGCATATTTCCTCCTTCATCCGGTGCAACGCGGCAATTAAGTTTCCTGTTCCTGCGCGAAGGGGCTTTAACCGCTATAGCTTCAATTCGTACACATAACCCCGGGCACTCCCTGATACCGGCATGTCTACTTCAATTCCCACCTGGAAGCGGTAGTTGGGGTCCTCCCCGACTTTCGGCCCTACAGTATTGCGAAGGATGCCAATACCTTCAACCTCGTGCTCCACAACATCGCCGGGTTGGAGGAACCGGGCTTCATACCCCTTGCGAATTGCCTCGCCGATAGACCCGCCTCCGACGGTGCCACACCCAAGAACGTCGCCGACGGCAATTCGGCTGTCCTTGGATGCTCGTTCCACCATGGCGCCCCAGGTGTGGTAGGACAGCCCGCCGTCACTGTCTTCCACCCAGGGCACGCCGTTGACTCGGGCGGAACACTTGACGTGGAGGCGCCCGTCGCGGATGTGGGGAGCCAGTTCGTCCGTTGTTACCAGGCAGGGCCCCAGCGAGGAAGCTCCGTCCTTACCCTTGGCCGGCCCCAGTCCCACGGCGCTCTCGTCCCGCTGCAAGTCGCGGGCGCTCCAGTCGTTAAAAATGAGGAAACCAGCGATAAAGTCCAGCGCGTCGGCCTCTGCCACGTTAGTGCCTTCCTTGCCAATCACGCAGCCTATTTCCAGTTCGTAATCCAGCATATCCGAAGCCGAAGGGTGGGGAACGATATCTTCCGGGCCGTAAACGCAAAGAGGGTTTGAGAAGTAAAAGATGGGCATGCGGTACCAGGCCTCTTCCCGCTCCCTGGTTCCCTGCTGGGTGGCGTGTTCCTCAAAAATCATAAAGTCGCGGATGGTGGGTGGCCGCAGAATCGGAGACTGGATTTGCACATCTTCCAGAGCAAAGACCGGTGCCGACGAATTGCCGCCCTGCAGGGCAGCCTGCACTCTCGCTATGGCATCGTCTCCTGTCTCGAGCAGCGCCTGCACGTCCCTTAATGGCTGAGGGGCATTGAGCAGGACCGTTACGTCGATTACAGAATCATCCTGCAATACTCCGCAACGAGGTCCGGTGCCGGTGTTGTAGGTGACCAGTTTCATATCCTGTCCTCCATACACGCGAATTTCTTCTTGTAAGCGTCTTGTATTAAGTGCTTTGGGCTTGGTTGGTAAATATACCACAGCAATGCTTTCTACGGTGGGCAGGAAATTCAGACACCTGCCTGCCATGAGGGACCCGGAACCGGGGCCGTGGAAGACGTGCATTCGGCATTGGTACCGAAGCCATAACCGGCTTCTACGGTGGGAGTTTATGAGCGGCTGAGTCGAGTCAAGTCGGCGGTTGCGCATTTGATGCAGTTAAAAGTAATATAAGCCATCCACAGCAAGGAGTTTTCGGAAAGGAGGTCGAAGATTATGGCAGAACTAGCCTTGGCCTATCGGGTAAGAAGCTATAGCACCGGCACCCCGGGTCGCGCCATCTGCAACGCGCGCAGTCACCACTTTGTGGCCGACGGTTCCGGCGGCGAGGAGGTGGGCGCCGGCGAACTCTTCCTTTCCGGCATAACCGCATGCGCCGTAAACATGGTGGAACGCATTGCCGGTTCCGAGGAAATTCCAGTTAACTGGATGGATGTTAGCGTGGAAGCCTACCGCGACCCCGACCGGGCCCCAATAGCGGACGAGGGCACCGTTTCCGTTTACGACGACATCAAAGTCCACTTCCAGATTTGGGGGGTTGACGATGATCAGGGCCAATACCTGGTGGACCAGTGGAAGCGGCGTTGACCCCTTTACGGTTCGGTCGCCGTGGCGACCCCCAGCACCAGCGTATCGGCTGAAATCTACGCCCATTCCCACTGAAGAACAGCCAATCACTTACTCGGGCCAGGAATCACCAGCAGGCGGCGGAGTTGTCATGACTTCGCCGCTCTCTTTTTCGAAGCCGGGACTCCGTTGCGGTGAATTCAGCCAAAAAGCAGCGAAAACTTCCGGAACCCCTCTCTTTATGTTATGCTCAGCTTGCCTAAATGTAGTTTTTGGCTAGGGGCAAGGCAACAGTACTGCCGGTTTTCTCAATCGTATTTGCTTTTCGCCGATTCAGGGCAGGAAAGGTTGCCACCACATTATTCATTTCTTAATTTGCCTTTTGTTGGCCGTCGCAGTGGTCCTGATGAGGGTAGTGGTCGTGGCGTTGCGGGGAGGTTGGGGGAAGGCTACCAAATACATTGGACTCGATAATGAACAGGAACTAATCGCGCCGGTGAACGAGGGGGAAGGAGTAGCTTCTCGTGTTCGATGTATGGACCTTACGAATTATGGGAGCCGGAGGCTTCGGAGTTCTGGGTTGGCGCCTGGGGCCCTACGTGCCGGATTTCCCTTCCGATAGCAAGCAGATTATTCCCTGGGGCATCGTTCTCGCGATAGTTGGGCTTCCACTGGGTGCAATTGTCACCCCTTATTTGCTGCTGCGGCCCTGGCGAAAGGCTGTCAATCACATTAACTCCATTCCTGGTTCCACGCTCTTGTCCGCCTGCTTTGGTGCGCTGGTGGGCCTCGTATTCGCGGCTTTAATCTCTATCCCGTTCTATAACATCAATGGCTGGATGGCCTGGGGCATTCCTATAGTGGTGAGCGTGTCCCTGGGCTTGATGGGCCTTGTCCTCGGTGGTGTCCGTGGCAGAGACGTTCAGGCTGTATTCCCCGCTTTGGAGAACACCAACCACACCAACGGTGTTGCCCATGAAGGCCGTAACGGCAAGATACTGGTGGACACCAGCGTAATCATCGACGGCCGGATCGCCGACCTGACCGGTACCGGATTCCTTGAAGGAACCCTGGTAGTTCCCCGCTTCATTCTTGACGAACTGCGTCACATTGCCGACTCCAGCGATCCTTTGCGCCGCAACCGCGGTCGTCGTGGGCTGGAAGTGCTGGGCCGACTACGCCGGGACGACAGCATCACCCTGGACATCCTGGACGTGGGCATTACCAATGGTGACGAGGTTGACTCCATGCTGGTGCAGATGGCCCGCACCATGAAGTGCCCGATCCTGACCACCGACTATAACCTCAATAGGGTGGCGGAATTTCAGGGTGTGCAAGTGCTTAACGTCAACGAACTGGCCAACGCCCTCAAGTCCATTGTGCTGCCTGGCGAGGAAATGCGCGTCAATATTGTCCAGGAGGGCAAGGAACTGGGCCAGGGGGTGGCCTACCTGGACGATGGCACCATGGTAGTGGTCGAGGGTGGCAAGCGTTACATCAACGCCTTCCACGACGTTACCGTAACCCGGGTGCTGCAGACTGCGGCCGGTCGCATCATTTTTGCCCAGTCAAAGAACAACTAAGCGTTAACATCGGATGACAACAGAGGCGCGGGAACGTGGAGCGGCGGATCGACTCTGCGCGGTTCCGCGCCCTCTGTTTTAGGTCAGGAATTGGCGGACTGGCAGGTTGACTACTGAATTGAAAATAGGGGTTGTGGTGGTTGCCGCTGGCAGTAGCACTCGCATGGATGGGGTGGACAAAACCTTTGCTGCCCTGCTTGGCCGCCCCCTGATCACCCACACCCTGGACCGTTTTGAAGATTTCCCTCCTGTCTCTGAGATAGTATTGGTGCTGGCCGAACACTCGGTTGAAGTCGGCGAGTCTCTGGTCAAGCAACGGGGATACCGAAAAGTCTCCCAGGTGTGCGCCGGCGGGGCCCGCCGCCAGGACTCGGTAAAGGCTGGCTTCGACTGGTTGCAGCCCTGCGACTGGGTAATGGTCCACGACGGCGCCCGCCCGGGCATGGACGCAACCCTGTTGAAACGGGGCTTGGACTCAGTCATTGCCTCTGCGGGCGGTGCCGCCATCGCGGGGGTGCCGGTCAAGGACACCATCAAGGTGGTCTCGCCCGACGGTCTAATAACGGACACCCCGCCCCGGGAAACCCTTTGGGCCGCCCAAACTCCCCAAATCTTCTCCTATGAACTCCTTTGCCAGGCCCACCACCAATTTAGCGGCAACGCCACCGACGATGCCATGATGGTCGAGGCGTTGGGCCATCAGGTAACAATGTTCCTCGGCTCCTACGAGAACCTCAAAGTGACCACCCCCGAGGACATGGCTGTAATGGAAGCGATGCTCCGGGGACGTCGGTTGGTTTAGCAAGGATGGAGGGGATATACAGGATTGCTTTGGCCTGGTCATTCGGTCCATTCATGGCTGCATTTAGCTCCCCAAAAGGTAAAGCGAGACAGGGGTGAGGCAGGATAGTTTTGATACCCGACTTCCGCACCGGCATTGGCTTTGACTCCCACGCCCTGGGGCCCGACCGCCGCCTAGTCCTTGGCGGGGTGGAGGTTGCCCACGATATGGGATTGGTGGGCCATAGCGACGGTGACGTCCTGATTCACGCTATCATGGATGCTTTGTTGGGCGCGGCTAACCTGGGCGACAAAGGCCGGCATTTCCCCTCCTCGGAGGATCAGTACAAGGACATTTCAAGCCTGTTGCTGCTTTCCCAGGTGGGCGAGCAGTTGGCGGCTCACCATTGGCGCATAGCTAACGTAGATGCTACAATGTTGGCTCAAAGGCCCAGGTTAGGCTCTTATATTCTGGATATGAAGGTAAAGACTGCCGCCGCACTTTCCATATCTGTAGAGCGGTTGAGCATCAAAGTCACGACTACTGATTACCTTGGGTTTGTCGGACGGGAAGAAGGTATCGCCGCAGTGGCGATAGCCACTATATTTCGACCAGAACAGTAACCTTCACCCCTCGCTTCTTTGGGATGGTGCCAATAAGTTTCCCTTCTCCTTCGTGGAGTTGGGCGAGGGGAGAATTACGGCGAAGTTATGCGTCTCTACAATACGCTGGTCGGCGAGGATAGGGAATTTGCTCCCGCCGACGGCAAAACCGTAAAAATGTATGTTTGTGGTGTGACCCCTTACTCGTCCACTCACGTTGGGCACGCCCTCAGCTACGTAGTCTTTGACACCCTCCGCCGCTACCTGGCGTACCAGGGCTACCAGGTCAAGCACATCCAGAACTTCACCGACGTTGACGACAAGATCATTCTGCGGGCCCAGGAAGCGGGCATCAGCGAGGAGGAGTTGACTGCCCAGTATATCGAGGACTTCTTCCGCACAACGGATGCCCTGAACATCCTCCGCGCCGACGTTTACCCCCGGGCGACCCAGGAAATCGAACCCATCCTGGACACCATTCAGAGCCTGGTGGACAAGGGTTTTGCTTACCCCGCCGCCGGCGACGTCTATTTCCGGGTCAACAGGAAGGACGACTACGGCAAGCTCAGCCATCGAACTCTGGAGGGAATGATAGCCGGGGCCCGTATCCAGGTGGACGAAGACAAAGAGCACCCTATGGACTTCGTGCTCTGGAAGGGAGCCAAGCCCGGTGAACCCTTCTGGGACAGTCCCTGGGGACCGGGACGCCCCGGCTGGCATATCGAATGCACTGCCATGTCCCTGCGTTACCTGGACTACCCGCTGGACATCCACGGTGGCGGCCAAGACCTGATTTTCCCCCATCATGAAAACGAAAATAGCCCAGAGCGAGGCCCACACTGGCATAACTCCCTTCGCCCACCACTGGGTCCACAACGGTTTGCTGCAGTTAGGTGAAGACAAAATGAGCAAGTCGCTGGGCAACCTGGTTTCGGTTGAAGAAGCCCTGGATCGGTGTAGCCCCGACGCCTTGCGTATCTATTTCCTCAGTTCCCATTATCGCAGCCCGTTGCAATACAGTGACGAGGGCTCGGCCGCGATGGAGCGCAGCTTGGATCGCTTCCACCACGCCCTGCGTCCCGTTGATGCTGGCGAGGATGGTATACAAGACAACGAAGCGCTGGATGTCGATGCATATCGGGCACGATTCATGGGGGCTATGGACGATGACCTGAATACCCCTCAGGCGATCGCTGCCTTGTTTGACCTGGCCCGGGACATTAACCGGGAGATGGACTCAGGCCATGCCGTGGCAGCTGCCCAGGCAACGCTCAGAGAATTGGGAGGCATCCTGGGATTAACGTTTGAAGAGCGGTCTGTGGGCAGCGACGAGTTGGCGGCGAAGCCTTTCATCGATTTGCTGGTCAGCACTCGTACCGAACTCCGGCAAGCGCGTCAGTTTGCCCTTGGCTGATCGAATACGTGACGAATTGGCGGCCCAAGGGGTAACGCTGGAGGACTCTGCCCAGGGGACTTCGTGGAAGTACCAACTTCAGGGCTGACCGGGGATTTTCTAACAATCGGACCCAAAAGCTAGGGGACCGGTTCAAGAGCCGGTCCCCTTAGCGGTTAACCGAAAGTCCGGTGGCTTGCCTATAGCACTTCCTTCTTGAAAATCATCCTGTCCAAGGCGTACTTGCCGCGGCTGCCCATTACCCCGATTATGCCCGCAATAATGAACCAGAGGATGGTAACCTCGCCGCCGTGAGCCACGAAGGCGTTGCCGCCGTCCGGTGGATTGGGGTAGAGGTGAGGCCACGGCCAGATGGGACTCAACGCTGCGTGTACACCGAAGTAGGCGACGATCATGGTAACGCACAACGCGCCGGCGCCCAATCGGGTCAGAAATCCGAAAGCGATGAACAGGGCTGCAATTATCTCCACCCAGCCTGCTACATCCACCAAAGCTCCGAGCCCATTAGGATTGGCCCCCGCAGGGAAGCCCCATAGCAGGAACGCCTTCTGTATCCCGTGCAGAAACACCAGTATGGCGAAAATCACACGGAACAGGAGATAAAACTCTTCCGTATACTTGCTTAAGAACTGCCCGAAAATCCCTCCGCCCGAAGCCGTGCCCATATCCTCAGTATTAGCAGCCATATCACCCCTCCTTCGTATCGGTACCACCTGATACACTGCCCTATATTCGATTGTCGCAAAGATAATATTTTCTAAAGTGTTACGTGTCAATGAATTTTGTATAAATAAATAACAAGATATCCTTATGATTGGGTCATTTAGAGGCATAAACATAAATGTCTTGCCAATATCCAGATACATCAGCGTTGCACACGGCGTTTCTTTGTATTCAATCTGCTCCTTGGTTACGGATACTGAAAGAAATCCAGGCAGTGGTCAGGCATAAAGTCGCAATTCGAGTTCACTTCTTCGTCAGTTCCTGATTACCCTCCGGGGCAGGCTTGGAGGCCGCGTCCCGGTTGCCCTTTGGAACCGGCTTTGACATAATATGGCAGGACTCACGTTCTCATTGACCTGAGTTCTGTACGCCCAACGCCCTCTTCAAATTGTGCGAGTACCACCGAATATATGATTGAAACTTCTATCGTTGAAGTCCTGTCCAACATCGTTGGCGAGGACAATGTCCTTACCGCCGACTACGATCTGGACCGTTATTCTGCCGATGCCCTGACCCCCTTCCGTGCTTATCGTGCCGGCTATGCCTTTGAGCAGTTGGCGGAAGTGGTGGTTCGTCCCGGTTCCGTTGACGAGGTATCCCAGATCGCGGCCCTGGCCACTCGCGAAGGCATCCCCCTGGTACCCTACGGCGGCGGCACTGGCGTCATGGGCGGCGTGCTACCGGTCAAGGGCGGCATAGTTGTCGACGTGAAGCGTCTGAACCGCATCGAGGAAATCAGCCCAAGGGATATGACTGCCTCGGTAGGGCCCGGGGTTGTATTGCAGGATCTGGCGGATGCGCTGGCCGAGCATAATTTGATGATCGGGCACGACCCTTACAGCGTTCCCATTGCCACCGTCGCTGGCACCATTTCTACCAACGGTGTCGGCTACCGCGCCAGTGCCTTTGGCCCCATGGGGCAACAGGTTGTTTCCCTGCAAGTGGTGCTGCCCGATGGTCGAATACTGGACACCCGCTCGGTTCCCAAGTACTCCTCCGGCCCCAACTTCAACCACCTCTTCATCGGCGGCGAAGGAACCTTCGGGATTATTACCCGGGCAACGATTCGTGTATACCGCCAGCCTGAGGCGCAGGTGTTTGCCACCGCCGGCTTCGACAGCTTTGACCAAGGGTTCGACGCGGCCGCCGAGATGAAGGCCTTGGAACTCCACCCGACCCTTCTGGACCTTACGGAGGAAGACGGGGAAATCCGGATGTTCCTTTGTTTTGAAGGCTACCGGGAAGGTGTGGAGGCGCGGCACAGGCGGGCGATGGAGATCTGTAACCAGTTTGGGGGAAGAGACATCGGACCCGAGGATACCCTGGATTACTGGGAGGGCCGGCACGACTCCGGTTACCGGTACAAGCGCAACGCTCTTGACCGGCCAAGAGAGGAGCGGTGGAATCGCCAGTGGGGCCGCAGCTTCGATTACCTTCACATGGCTCTGCCCATTTCACAGGTCCTGGATTACCGCCGCCGCTGCGAGGAAATACTGGCGGCCCGTGGGGTAAGAATCGTCGAGTACGCCATCTGGAGCAGACCGGAGCTCTTCTCCATGATGGTGGTTCCGGAAGACACTTCGGGCAATGAAGAGGATATCCGAAAGAACCTTGCCGAGGCGGTGGAGGAAGTTCTTACCCTGTCCCAGGACATGGGCGGGGTGATGGAGTATTGCCACGGCGTGGGCATGAAGCTGAACCATCTGCTGGCCCGCGAAATGGGAGTAGGGCACGACGTGATGCGACAGATAAAAGAAGTCCTGGATCCCTCTAATATTATGAACCCCGGGAAATTGGGGTTGTAGCACCTTTATCGGTAAAGTTGCAGAATCTCCGGCCAATGCTCCAAAGTCCGTCAGCACCAGGACCGTCATACTGAGCAAAGCGAAGAATCCTGAATCCACACTTGCCAGATCGTTTCTTTCGCGGGTACTTCCCGCCTTAAACACTTGGAGTCCTTCGGCAAACTCAGGTTGCCTGAATTATTCTTTGGTCTCAATTTCCCCACCATCGCGAAAGCAATTCCCTGTTAATCTGCACCAAAATCGTTGAACTCGCGCCGCTGCCGGGT